TTTCCATTTCTCTTTAACTCAGTAGGAATTCACGTCACTCCAAATTCAGTCACCATTATGGGCCTATGAAGTGGGTTTTAGTTAATAAACATAAATATTTTAATACTGGATAAAGTTTCATTTGAATGTTGTTTTTTATAAAGTGACTTTTATCTCTCAGGAAATCTTATTTTTAATTTTTACATAAATGACAAGAAACCACAAGTAAAGGCAGTTTTTCCCTTCTGTTTTTTAGATTTACTAATAAAGAGAATTCATTTTGAACTGTGAAGTGGAATATACCTTGTTGGGAAATTGTTTCAGAGTCCTGTTGAATGTTTAAAGATGTGCTGGCAGTTGGAGTTTCCATAATGTAATCTAAGCAGTCATTTCCTGGGAGGGTTCCAGACTTGCTGAGTCATTATTTAATATACCAGGTTAAAAAACAGATTCAGTGTCTAGAAAAGCAAGATACATTGTCTCTATAAGTAGGTGTTCAGGACATACAGTTTTAACTTTGGCAGTCATTTCACATGAAACACTGTTAACATTTGGATGTTATAGACACTTCAGGAAACACAGTCTTTAAAAACATTTTAATCTCTAGAATCTTTAATATCTAATCTTGGCTTTAAAATTCAGCTTTCATCATTTTTCTGTTTTCCTGTTTTCTCCCATTCATGACTGTGATCCTTCTTACAATGAGAATAAGAGAGATCTCTATACTCTTCGTCATCTGTAATTTGCCAGATCAGATCACTGACATCAGTCCATACCAACACCATGTCATACAGTGATGTCAGCTCTCAAAAAAGTTTCACACTTACAATTTGATCCAAACTCCTCCACTCAGGAAAAGAACAATACATAAGACCAATGGCTCATGTAAAAATGTAAATTTTTAGAAGCACATCCTCTTGCATGTGCTTACCATAATTATAGAGAAGAGAATGTTATATCTGTTCAGAGTTTTGAGCCAGTCATTGCTCTACACATAATAATGAAGCAGAATGAAAGAAAATGTTGCTGTTTCCTGCTCCCTTTCCAAAATATTTCAACTTTCTTCTCTATTCCCAGGGGGAAAAAAAAACACAACATTCATTCTGCAGATTGCCCAGGTTCACCAAATACACAGTGCCAGACTGGAACAGCAAGTAACAATGGAGATTAATTTAAACACCATTTAGTTAAACTAGTAAACCTAGTAAAAATCAATTCACTAGTACTGATAGGTAAGCGAGAATTTTCTCTACCATAATTAAAGATCTTATTTAAAAGTGTAAAGTAATGTACTTATAATGATTAAGTATACAAATATACTTCCTTGGTGTCTCAGTAAAGAATCTGCCTGTAATGCAGGAGTCTCCAGTTCGATCCTTGGGTCGGGAAGATCCCCAGAAGAAGGGAATGTCTGCCAACTCCCGTATTCTTGCCTGGAGAATTCCATGGATGGAGAAGCCTGGCGGGCTACAGTCCATGGGATTACAAAGAGTCAGACACTGTTGAACAACTAACACTTTCACTTCCCTTAATACAAATATACAAGTACATAAAAAATATTGAAATGAAGTAAGTTAATTAAGAAATACAATGATACTATATCTCTTCACTTTGTATAATAATGCATAACATCCGTGTACTGTGCTTAGTCACTCCATCATGTCTGACTCGTTGTGACCGCATGGACTGTAGCCCACCACGCACCTCTGTCCATGGACTTCTCCAGGTAAGATTACTGGAGTGGGTTGCCATGCCCTCCTCCAGGGGATCTTCCCAGCCCAGGAATCAAACCCAGGGCTTCTGCATTGCAGTCAGATTCTTCCATAAAAACTAGTTATTTAAGTCAGCATTACCCTTCTAATTGTAAGTCTGGTTTCCTATCAAAATTATCTTGAAGTCCAAGCTAGTTTAATTTAGATCAATGAGATTTTTAAAACCATCCTCTATTTCTTTTAAAATTACTAACTTCTGAATTTTTGCCTACTCTGTAGCTTGATGTATCAAACAAAAAAGTATGGTAATGTGGATTTTTGGCATATATACCTTCAAATAAAATTTCACATAAAAATGGAAATTACAACTAGTAACTTTCTTAAAATGGTAACTGAATTATTAATCAAAATGTATCACTGATTCGGAAAATCCTTAGAAGCATTTTATTTGCTTTTATATTATTAGAAAGGATGATTGGCAGGATTCCAGAAATGATGGTTGTTAAACATTTATGTAACCAATGATATATAGATAAATATTATACATGTAAATTTATATTACAGGTCAATGGCCTTATTTCATAGGATCTTATTTTTATGTTTGTTTTACAATCTCTTATATATCAGTAAGGCTTTTTTTTCACACTCTGAAGAATGGATAAATATTTCAATAAATATTTACAAAGTCATCAGTTAGTAACCCAGTCTTCTTTTTTTATCTTAGCTCTTAATTTTGCTGCATAACAGGGAAAAGCAGGTATAAATGTATACGTGTAAACTCTCAGAAACATAGAATACAGTTCTGCAGACAGAACATCCCTTTATCAAAGTGTTTGTTATGTAGTAAAATTAACAACTCATTCTCCTTCCAGTAGTGCATCAATTACCGCATGCATGCACCCCATCTCATGATTTTAAAACTTCACTTTTTCATTTAGAAATAGGGGATGCATTGAAAATGACTGATTATATTTGGAACTGTAAGAAAAGGGAATCATGAGAATGTCTGGTTGTGTTGCTAGTTGATTTTAAGATACCATACATAAATGACAAGAGGACCCTTTGATAATGTTGTTAAAAATCTTAAATTGCTATCATATCTTCAATGCTATTAATCTTCATTTTGACATTATAAATCTGCAGTTTATTTTTTTTCAGTGCCAAGGGCACATGTGGCTGTGTGAATCTCATCTTTGCCTGAATGTGTAGTACAGACCTGGCCACAAAATAATAGCCAGTTTCTTTTCCCTAAAATCAATTAGCATTTTAAAATTTCTTATGTAATCCTGCCTTGGAGGTAGTAAATGAAAACTCTTCTCAGGAATAATTCTGGTTTTTTGTGGTTTATGGTAGTGTTTATGTGAATGTTACCATGTTGGCTGAGAAGAAAACATTCAGCTTTATCTGGTTGTCTCTTGCTCATCTAAGTGAATTTGCCCCATAGTATACTGAATAATCCAACATCAAACTGGCTTTGTCTACACAGCTTAGAATTAAGTCTCTTAAATAACTGAAAAGTAATTTGGTCAACTTTTCATATGATTTTCCAAATTTGAGAACATGGTAAGTCTGCTAAGAAAGTGTGACAACAGATCAGCTTTTATTTTGAGTGGTGAAACTTTCCAACTGTGGAAAAATACCACTTTTCATTTTAGTGTACTTAAAACTGGCCCGTTGGATTGTTAAAACAGAGACCTAACCCAATGAATTTAATTATTTTCCAGTAAAATTAAATTCCATTGAAGGTATTTATTCAATGTATTTATGATTCTGATTTGGCAAACCTTAGACTCATTTTTAAAAGCTCCCATGATGTCTCTGTTAGAGTTGAGCCCTTCCGGAATAATTCTGCTTCATAGTTTTTTATGGAATTGAAGTTATAAATGTAGCTGTAGACATAATATCCCTAAGTAGACCCTCATTTCAAATTTGTTTTTATTGCAGCTAGTGAAACCTGTAAATCAGAATTTTCCCATTTGATGCAGATAGGCATTGAAAGGGATATAAATTATATGTATATATGATTTGTTTCTCATCTTTTCAGTAATTACCTGAATTAGAAATTAACTAAGTAAGGTGATAATACAAGGGCTCTAGAAGCAGACAAATGTAGATTTGTGTTTTGACTGTACTATATACTAGCATTTGACCCCAAAATTAGATGCCTCAACTATAGATAACAAGGCCTGTCTTATAAGGTACCTAAAACAGTGATTATTCAGAGTTAATACTAAGTTAAGAGCTTAATAAATGAATTATATAATTATAATGACTCTTAAAAAGTAATTCAGTTCTTTTATTCCAATGATTATTATTTCTGATGATTCCCAAGTACATTTCCATGATATCAAGAGGTACCATGAAATTGTTCAAAAACACTGAAAACACAGTTCATTTTAATTCATTTATTTTTTTAAATCTATATACTGAACTGATGATGTAATTACAAAATGAGAAACAGGAGTGTACAGAGGTATAATTGTAACCAAAACATTAATATTTGTGAATCTTATAGAATCTAGTAGTCACTGTTTCTCAATTATATAAATGATAGTATAAGTTTAACTCTACTTTTACATGGTTAAAGAATAATTTTAAATTATACATTTTTTTTTTTTTTGGAGAAAATCCAAAGACACTGTCAGCCCTTTTCAGATGAGGTACTGTGTGGGACAGACTGGGGGGATTTGCTTTTCATTTATTATCCTCCTGAATTTCTTACATTTTGTACATGTGAATCTTTAGTAAATGTCAGTGAAGTAGTGTATGCAGTGGGATTTAGAACCATATTTTGGTTTGCTTTCAACTTTATATTTCTCCATTAAAACAAGTGAAACTAAAAATTGAAAATTATTTTAAAGTCCCAGAAATCAGGTTCAAATATTCTGATCTCCAATTCTGTTTTCAGATGTAAAAGCAAGATACTCAAGTAAGAAGTAAAGGGGAAGAAAGTTACATTAAAAAACAGAAACATAGTTTTAGTTTATTCCTCTGACATTCTTAACAATCAATCCACTAAATACAATAGTAAAACAAAAAGCAGTTTAAAAATACATAAATGTATTATGCTGTGTCAAGGTCGCTTGCATCTTACCGTATCATTCTGGGAACATCACTACTCTCTGAACAGCTGTATGTGTTTTATTGGGAAAATGATTTTTCTCTTTGTGTCAGTTTTTCTGCACTGGTGCCTTGGCTCAGTAATAATGTGAACCCTTTTGTTGAAAAATTAAATCAAAATGAAAATTCCATACACATAAAATCAGTCTTTTACAACTTATTGTCCCCTGTTGTCTTTCACACGTATAGCAAAAGTCACCTTCTGAGTCCTTCATTGGTCGAGAGAAGAGGTCAAATTCCCAGTCGTACATTGGGCGCCCCATCCAACTCGACAAGATCTTGCTGTCCAAAGTTAAAGTGCCGCACACGTTCGTCATCCATTCGTATACCCGGCCCACGGTGTGCCAGTATTGCAAGAAGCTTCTCAAGGGGCTCTTCAGGCAGGGCCTGCAGTGCAAAGGTAAGGATGACTTTGCCACCAAGTATTTGTCACCAGCCGACACTTGATCCTCATCCATTTGAAATTATTGTTTTCCTCATAACCTGTCTTTCTAGATGAATGCTTGGTTTTAATATTTTCTTTTAAAATCATTGTGATTACAACATCAGCACCAAATAAAACAGCCTTCAAGACCTTCACCTCCTGCCCCTTTGTCCACCTGCTCCTGACAGTCTCAGTGGAGCTAGCCCACTGAGATAATACATGATGGATGGATGGCTGTAAAAACCCACCCACGGGCAGCAGTGAAGCCCATGCTGGATCTTACCTAAGCCTCCTTCAGCTTCCCATTTGGACCAGGGAGCTCCTCAACCTCACTCGCTCTGATTCTTGCACCCTACTGGACATGTTTATTCCAGCATCTGTGATGCTGCAAGCTCTGTGTAGATCTAAGGGGCCTCATTAGATTTGTGTTAACTACAGTACTGTCCCTGAAAGTGTGCTTGCTCTTACAATAGCAGTGTGGTAATAATACTTTTCCAAGGCTGCTAGTGAAGCATCTTGAGAAAGGGGTGTGTTTTCTAACTCACGCACAGGTCAGTATAGATGAAAGGCTTACCCTTCCTTCCCCTGCCTCAGTGGCCTTCCCTGGCTCAACCTTACACTCCCCTAATGGCAGGATTCTGTCATTTGTCCTCTGTTAGCGTCATCTCAGACAGGCTTCCTGACCACCCTTGCTCATTTGGATGCTGATCCCAGGTTGATTCCTGTGAGCATTCCCTCCTCCCCTCACCATGTACACATAGCTCTCCACCTTGCTCCTCTGTCTCTGACCCTAGCCTCCCTTCTGATCATCATCTAACCTTTCCCCTGTGTCCATACTTGTGGTTGCTGATACTGGCCTTTAAAGGTGTCCTAGTACTAATCCCCAGAACCTGTAAATGGTACCTTATATAGAAAATGGGTCTCTGTGGATGTGATTAACTTAAGGCTTTTGAGATGGGAAGTTTAGCCTGGATTATCCAGGAGAGCTCAATGTAATCACAGCATCTTTACCAGACAGAGACAGAGATGTTTGACACAGAGAAAGACAAGGTGACGTGACCACAGAAGCAAACATTAGAGTGATGTGGCCACAAGCCAAGGAATGCCAGCCACCATCAGAATCCAGTCATCAGGATTCTCCCCTGGAGCTTCTGGAGGAATATTTTGGATTTCTATCTTCCAGACCTGTGTGAGAATAAATTTCTGTTGTTTTGAAAGTGAAAGTGTTAGTTGCTCAGTTGTATCTGACTCTCTGCAACCCCATGGACTATAGCCCACCAGGCTCCTTTGTCCATGGAATTCTCTAGGCAAGAATCCTGAAGTGGGTAGCCGTTTCCTTCTCCAGGGGATCTTCCAGACCTAGGGATCCAACCCAGGTCTCCTGCATTTGTTGTTTAAGCCACCAAAAATAAAATCATTGTGATTAGATTGCAGATTCAACTGTCATAAACGCTGTGCACCAAAAGTGCCCAACAACTGCCTTGGTGAAGTGACCATTAACGGAGGTAAGTAAAAGGTCAGCCTTCTCTCCCTCTTAAGGCATGTGTCATATAGGACTTAGTGGGATTTTTTTTACTTTTGTTTCCATTCAGATACTTGTGACCCAATAAATTACCGACTCTGTCCTACTTTACTGTAGAAAAGTACCCATCATTGTGCTATGATAAAGACCAGAGATTTTCTGGAATTTTACATGGTGAACCACCTTGTACTGAAAATGTGGATATCCAGGATTTCTTCCCCAACTCCCTTATTTTCTACACCTATCCTAGTTCATTCAGAAATGCAGAATTTGTTGTAATGTCTGCAAGTTATACCTATCAGTCTTTTCCTCTATCCTTTTTATTCCAAGCATTGAGACAGAAGTTAACTTTTATTCCCTGTTAGTCAAGGGAAGAATCACAGAAATTGACTGACCAGAAACAGTTACCTACTTTCTTTATCCATCCAGTTATTGTTTTCATTGTGTATGTGCTTCTTAACATGCATCTTTAATAATAATAAAAGGAAATTAATTCAGCCAATTAAAAGCTTAATATCCTTTTCTATATTGAGGAATATTCCTTTGGGAAGACTTTAATTGCATAGATTAAGTTTGAAGGAATCCTAAGAAAAATGCTGTGTTCTAAAGGAACAGCTCTCATTTTCTTCCCTGGTAGAATTCCTTATGGATTCTGAACAAAACATTTGACACAGATTCCCAGACTGACTTTTCCCATAGATAGTAGACTGCATTAGACTTTCAGCCTGTTATCAGAGTATTGATTCCTCTGAGAAGAAAACTGGTGATAAAAGATCAGAGAAGCTGGTTGACTATTTCTGTATTGCTAAAATCCTGAAGAACAAGTGATTATCTGTGTTCTCCACTTTCTTCTCTAGAAGAAGAGGAAGCTCTCTAGGAAAACATTCCCATAGTAGTTTTTGGCTTTGCTGTGCTGCCAAAGATAAAAACTTGGAAGTCTTCCCAGTTTAAGTGGCGTGTGGTATTGATTTTATTCAGGCCCAGGAAGTGTCAACCTGTACTAGATAAGTGGAACCAAAGGGAAACAGTATAGTTTTTGTTATATTGATTAATTTGAAATTGCATTTTTCCATACAGTCTGAAAAATCTGGAAAAATGTGCATTTTCCAAACTTGGCAGGCTATTTAAACCATCAGCCTTAAACAGGCTTTAATCAGTCTATTTTCTTATTTTAAAGTAAGAACTTTATATTAGTAAGTAATTATACTACATTTGCATCAACTGTATAATGACAGGGTTCAGTATTATTTCAAATATCAAATATTTATTTGATAGTTATTTAAACACTGCTGCTTATGTGACCAATTTAATATATTGAAATTCATGATTTTAAAAGTTACTGGAATATCAGGAGTCAGTGACATTCAGTGTTCTTGAATGTGAAAGTTTCCCACATCCTCCCACATATTTCTTTTTCCCACCAGGGTGCTGTGCTGCTGAAATAAGATTAGTTTCCTCTTCACTGGTATCACTTTGCTTCCTAGCACTTTGTTTCTGTATCACCCATTGGCATTCTTCCAAGGCTCCCCATGACGTTTTTATGCTTCTAGGCTTAGGGGCCTAAAAAATGAGCATCTACTTGTAAAATTATATATTTATCCTCTCATAAATTCAGATACTTATGAGCTAAAGTTTAAAAGGAAAGTGAAAGAAAAGAATTATTCACATGCCTGTATTTTTAGGGCTTCCAGTTGATTTGTTTTAGGACTGCCTAACTTTCTCTTAAGTCTTGGCTCTAGGATACTAGGCTTATGTTCATGGGTGCAAAACAATTTCGTAGATTTGCTCAGCCCTGGGGCAGAGTCTGACGTAGTCATGGAAGAAGGGAGCGATGACAATGACAGTGAAAGAAACAGTGGGCTCATGGATGACATGGAAGAGGCAATGGTCCAGGATGCTGAGATGGTGATGGCTGAGTGCCAGAACGACAGTGGGGAGATGCAGGATCCAGACCCAGACCACGAGGACTCCAACAGAACCATCAGGTGAGGGTGCACTCCCAGGCTTGATCAAACAGGCGAGCCCCAAGTGCTATTTACTTTTTAAAGCTCTTTGATATTTTAATCTGTTACAGAGAAAACTTAAAGTTGTGTTTACAGGCATACCTGGTTTTATTACTTTATTGCACTTCATAGGTATTCCTTTTTTTTTTTTTTTTAAATAAATTGAACCTCTGTGGCAACCTTGGGTAGGGCACACCTATCAGTACCATTTTCCTAACAGCTTTTACTCAATTTGCATCTCTGTCACATTTTGGTAATTCTCTCAATATTTCACACATGTTCATTATTATGTTTGTTACAGTGATCTATGTTTAGTGAACTTTGAGGTTACTATTGTAATTGTTTTGGGGCACCACAAACCATGCCTGTATAAGATAGTAAGCTTAATCAACAAATGTTATCTGTTATGACATCTCTACCAGCAAGCCATTTTCCTGTCTCTCTCCATCTCCTCAGGCCTCCCTATTCCCTGAGACACAACAGTATTGAAATTAAGCTAGTTAATAACCCTACAATTGCTTTTAAGTGTTCAGATGAAACATTCATGTATCTCTCACTTTAAATCAAAAGCTGGAAATGAATAAGCTTAGTGAGGAAGGCATGTTGAAAGCTGAGATGGGTCAGAAGCTCAGCCTCTTGAGGTAAGCCATCAGCCAGGTTGTCAATGTGAAGTAAAAGTTCTTGATGGAATTAAAAGTGCTACTCCAGTAAACACATAAATGATAAGACAGCAAAACAGCACTGTTGCTGATGGAGATAGTTTAACCTTGATAGAAGTTCAAGCCAGCAACAACATTCCCTTACAGCAAAACCTAATCCAGATCAAGATCCTAACTCTTTTCAATTCTATGAAGACTGAGCAGTGTGGAAGATGCAGAAGAAGAGTTTGAAGTTATTAAAGATTGGATAAGCCATCGCCATAACCTAAAAGTATGAAGTGAAGCATCAAGTGCTGATATACAAACTGCAGCAAGTTACCAAAAAATCTAGCTAAGTTAATGAAGATAGCTACACATAATGTTTTCAATATAGACAAAACAGCTTTGTGTTCGAAGCCAGTGTCATCTAAGACTTTCACAGCTGGAAGATGAAAGCTTCCAAGGACAGGCTGGCATCAGAGCTTCAAAGGACAGGCTGACTTTGAAGCTGGTAACTTTAAGTTGAAGCCAGTGCTCATCTACCATCTGAAGAATCTTATAAGCCTTAATGATTATATCAAATCCACTCTGCTTATGTTCTGTAAGTGAAACAACAAAGCCTGGATGACAGCGCATCTGTTTATAACATAGTTTACTGAATATTTTAAGTCCACTGTTGAAATTTATTGCTCAGGAAAAAAAATTCCTTTCAAAATGCTGCTGCTCATTTACGATGCACCTGGTCACCCAAGAGCTCTGGTGGAGATGGACGGTAAGATTCTCGTTGTTTTCATGCCTTCTGACACAGCCTCTGTTCTACAGCCCATGGATCAAGGACTAATTTTAACTTTTATTATTTTTAGAGATACATTTTGTAAGATAGCCAAATAGATAGTGATTCTTCTGATAGATCTAGACAGAGTCAACTGAAAACCTGAAAAGGATTTTCTCTTCAGATACCATTAAGAATATTCATGATTAATGAGAAGAGGTCACAATATCAGCATTAACAGGAGTTTATGGGAGAAGTTGTTTCCAAGCCTCATGGATGACTTTGAGTGGAGGAAGTAGCTGCTGATGTGGTGCATATAGCATGAGAACTAGAATTAGAAATGGGGCCTGAAACTGTGACTGCAGTGTCATGATAAAACTTTAAGAGTTGAGCAGAGGAAGTGGTTTCTTGAGATGGAATTTACTCCTGATGAAGATGCTGTGAAGACTGTAGAAATGACAGCCAAGGATTTAGAGTAATAGTAGTAGTATGCGCATTTAATTTATGATGCAGTACAGAGTTTGAGTCCAATTTTGAAAGAAGTTCTGTGGGTAAAATGCTGTAAAACAGCATTGTGTGCTACAGGAAAATCATTTTTGAAAGGAAGCATCAATTGATGTGGCAGACTTTGTTGTTGTCCTATTTTTAAAAATTGCCACAGTCAATACCAGCTTTCAACAAACACCATCCTCATGGGTCAGCAGCCATCAACAATAAGGCAAGACTTTCCACCAGCAAAAAGACTACATCTTGCCCGAAGGCTGAGATGATGGTTAGCAGTTTTTAGCAATAAGCTAATCTTTAATTAAAGAATATACATTGGTTTTTTTTTAGGCATAATGCTATATAACACATTTAATAGACCACAGTATAGTGTAAGCATAACATATATACACTGGGAAACCAAAAAATTCATGTGACTTGCTTTTTTGCCGTGTTTGTTTTGTCTCTGTGGTCTGGAACCAAGCTGAAACATGTCCAAACTTTTCCTGTAATTTCTTTATAAATGAGGAAGTTCCTAAGTTTGGAGCTAGGAGGTCAGGATTCCCTTGGAGAAGTGTAGCTTGCATGCTTTCCTGGTATTGCCTCATTTTTTGACCCATTTTCTTTTGCATGTGAGGGTTACACATACTTGCAAACAGAAAATTTACTTTGAAGTTAATATTTATTCAAAGCTTGTTGTGTGCAAATACATAGATCAAGGGATCAACCTTAGCAGATACCATCTATTTCATAGTTGGCCCACAATGTAGATAATGTAGGTTTGATCCCTGGGTGGGGAAGATCCCCTGGAGGAGGAAATGGCAACCCACTCCAGTATTCTTTCCTGGAGAATTCTACGGACAGTGGAACCTGGTGGGCCACAGTCGATGGGGTCAGTAAGAGTCGGACACGACTGAGCCACTAACACTTTATTACAAGAATCACTTATGTCTGGACCTTACTGTTCTTGATTTTGTTTCAGAAGTGTGTGGAGTTTCATGTTTGTGATTTGATTATCTGTAATTTTGATTTGTAGCTGATCCCCATTTTTTGTATTTGTGGTCAGCACACTATAGCCAGGTCGGTCTGTTCCCTGTTGTGTCCTAGTTTTATTGGAACATAGCCGTGCCCGTCCACAGCTATGGCTGTGGCTGCTCTTGCACTACAATGCCCGAGTTAAGTATTCTGCAGAGCCTGAAATGTGTATTACCTGACTCTACAAAAATAGCTCCCAAACCTCTGATTTGTATTAGAAAGTGTATTCAAACTTTTATGTCCATTTTATAAGTGCCCTATTCGTTGGCACTTCATAACTAAAATTCATAACTAAAATTGTTCATGAGAGCAGTAAAATAATTGGATTTTATTTCATTTAATAACATGAGAAATATTTTTCAAATACTGGAAAATGCCTATGCCCCCACTTTCTTTTGAAGGTGAACATTTCTTTAGTATCAAAATATTGGTGGCATGTAAGTGGTAGGTTAGTGAAGACACAGAGATATAAAAGAAGGAGATGAAGGACGGGCATAATTCCATGAGTAATAGTTATTTAAAAGACAGTTTGAACAGCAGATTCTAATTTTTGTGAAATTATGTAGAGAGAGACTGAAATTCACGTTAACATTTATGTCTAAATGATTAATATTGTGTCTATAATATTTATTAAGCAAATGATCATTCACGTGTGACTCTGAACTGTGGCCTCCATACACTATGATAGTAATCTACCCAGTGTTTACCCCAATACTGAGCAGCAAGTGTTTAGTTCACCTGAAAACCTAGATGCTTACTATTCTGCTTACGGTTTGTTAAGATGTCCATGTAAAGCACCTCTCACTCTTCAGAGCAATCCAGAGTCTGACAATACCTTTCACTAAAAATGGGGTTTGAAATTTTCTTTTGCCTTTCACTTTGAAATAGCTGCAATAAGGCTTTAGTCAGGAAAAGAAGATCTGTATCTAAAAACATTTCTTTCTTTAACTATTTTGACTTTTCAAGTCCATCAACAAGCAACAACATCCCACTCATGAGAGTAGTGCAGTCTGTCAAACACACGAAGAGGAAAAGCAGCTCAGTGATGAAGGAAGGATGGATGGTCCACTACACCAGCAAGGATACGCTGGTAAGATCCACATCAAACTCTTGTCTTGTCTTGTGAGCTTAAATTAGAGGAGCTTCTGGTGCTCTGTCAAGACTGTGGGATATCTGGGTTAGCAGGAGAAACCTTAGTGCAGGCAGGGTAGAGGATCAGGATGGAATATTCACAGTCTCTGGGTGTTCCATAGTTGAGCGAACAACTGAGTTGGAAAAGACTAGATAGCAATCTCAGGGAAACAAAGTCATTTCCCTGTATTACTTGAGATGATTCCTAAACAACTTAAGTGTCTACCTATCTTTTTATAGCAGCTGTGAAAACTTTCAGAATGCTCGTCTGTGATTCAAAAAAATTTTTGAGCACTGCATTTTAGGGAGAGAAAAAATGATAACTGTTATATATTTCTTAAATCCTTAAGTGTTCACTTAAAAATTGACCTATTGAGAAACATAGTAATCTTATATTTTGTTAGATAAAAGACCGCACATTTAAAATTTTTGTTATACTCTGAGTTTCTCACTACTTCTTATTTTCCTAATAGTTGATGCATGAGGTTGTGCATGTATTGACGTATGTTTCAATTTAACTGACCTTTAGTAATAAGCTTCTTTCTCAGCTATTGGTAGTGTTTTCCTCATCACCACCTAGCTGTAGGATCCCTATCATTTCTTTCGTTAAATGGACACCTATAACCTAACAGCTGTATCTGTAATCTCAGCATTCTCTTCTGGAGAGAGCTTTACATGACTTACTGTAGGACTGAGCTTAATTCCATCCAGTCTTTCCTAGATGTGGTAAAATATTTGAAGCATATTTAATATATTTGACTGGTGTAAGACAGGTTGTGGAAGAGACCAAGAATAGTATTAGGACACTTTAGTCTGAAAAGAAGAAATACATGCATTCATACAGACACACAAGGACCTGATCATCAAATCATGGATGTTTAGATCTGCAGTAAGCTTAAGAGAAAGTCAAGCTATTGATGCATTCCTCTAATGTTAGGTTGATGCCATGGAGTCAGCCTTGCCATCCTACTCAACATTCTTTAGTTCTACTGGGCCATCTCTAATGGAAGCCAGAATGCCTGGCTGGATCAGCATGGCATGCCTTATGTTCTAAAACAATAGAATGTAAATATTTTATCTCCCGTAAAGCCCTTTTATTACAGCTATTAATCCACCTTTAGCTCTTCAAGCCATCAAATAAATTTTAAAATGGTGTTTTCTATTTATTCTACTTGCACTAAGTGCCAGGCACTGCTCTGGGTGCTAATACATCATCTCCTTTAATATTTATAACTCTCAAATGTTGGCACAGAAACTCACTACACATTTGCTGAATAGACACCTTCTAGAGTCTTGAAATTGTTACTCTTCCTCTTCCAAAGGCTGCACACTTTCCCCCATCAAATCTTATGCCCCAATGGGAAAATGTTTTGATTTTATCTGTCTTAGATTTTTTTTTTTTAATTTTTAAAAGATAGTGTATCAAACTTCTGTTTCAGCGGAAGCGGCACTATTGGAGATTGGATAGCAAATGTATTACCCTCTTTCAGAATGACACAGGAAGCAGGTACTACAAGGTAAGGGTGACTGTTTCCTTGACTGAGGTCTCATGCCCCCTCTTGCTTTCTTGTGGGAATGTAGAGTATCAGAAATACAAAATTACACCCAACAAACGTGGCTCTTACTGAAGCTTGCTCTGAGAGATATTTTTTTCTTCTCTGTAGTTTTTAGATTTGGGGGAAATCAGGTTGTGAGCTGATTAGTCATCTGTGAATTGCAAATTTCACAGTGGAATGCTTCTGGCCCCATGGGATGGTGGGGTAGAGGGAGGGGGAGAAGAAACTTAACTGTCTTATTTTAGCAGGGATGTGTGATTGAACTAGCAAGTTCAGGGTCACAGAAGATTAGTGAAAAGTAAATTCCTGAAGTCTGTTCCGTCCAACTTTCTTTGTTTTGTTTTGCACTGGTAGTCCTGCAAATATGTCACTAGGGGTTAAGAAACATTGTATGATTCCTCCATATATTGCCAATATCATAAGGAGCACTTTCTGCTAGAAAAATAATTTAGCAGCTGTTTTCATTCTGTCTCTCTACATGAAATAATACAGATGTCACATAACATATAACCCAGTGGAACATGGTTCCAAAAGAAATATAGAGTGAAAAAGTATATATTTGCTCCATCAAGAATAATGAAGGCTCAGTGATAGTAGGTGTCGTTCTCCATGGCCCCTTTATACAGACCTAAGAGAAAAAGGAAACCTCATTAGCTTTTAAATTAAAATTTGTTTTATAAGTTATTATTTCTTAAAAGTTGTTTAAAAGTTATTATTTCTTCTCCATCCTAAAAGACAATATGGTGATTAATTTTTTTAATATCAAAATTATCTTAAAAGCAACTGCTTTTAAAACCACTCTCTGTGGTGTTCCTCACTAAAACTGTTCATGTGGCTATATTATTATATTAACATCTATCAAATCAAATTACATGATTCATTTTCAGTGCCTTAAAGAATAGTTGAAATTTAAAAACAGCTGTGCATACCCAAATGCATTTCAAAAGGGTTGTGATTTTACCTCACAGTTATTAAAATTAACATTTATAGTCTAAGACTTAGATTTTGATGCAGGTTCAAAATTATTCATATTTATTCTTATTGCATGAACATACTGAAAAGCCACTTGAATTTTTCTGGAAAAAGGAGATAATTTTATTTTTGTGTTTTTCTTAGTTATATTCTGTGTCTTACAAAGCTGTTTTATAGAAATGATAGCTGAGTGTAATGTCATTTCTTACATGTCCCTGGCATGAGTTTTATTTGAAAGTTTTATCCTTTTGATAAACTCCATTTAGTACACACTTTTTTCCACAGGAAATACCTTTATCAGAAATTTTATCTTTGGAACCAGCAAAACCATCAGCTTTAATTCCTAGTGGGGCCAACCCTCACTGTTTTGAGATCACCACAGCAAACATCGTGTATTATGTGGGAGAAAATGTGGTCAACCCCTCCAGCCCACCACCAAATAGCAGTGTCCTCACCAGTGGTGTTGGTGCCGATGTGGCCAGGATGTGGGAGATGGCGATCCAGCATGCTCTCATGCCCGTCATACCCAAGGGGTCCTCTGTGGGTTCAGGAACCAGCGTGCACAGTGAGTCTGCTAGTTTCTGCCTGTCTTCAGAACAGGTGACGAGAACCTCTTTGGGGATGTTTAGTTTATTGGAATACCCTGATACTGGGAAAAATCGACAGCAGGAGGAGAAGTGGGTGACAGAGGATAATATGGTTGGATAGCATCACCAGCTCAATGGACATGTGTTTGAGAAAACTCTGGGAGATAGTAAAGGACAGGGAAGCATAGTGTACTACGGTCCATGGGTTCGCAAAGAGTTGGACATGACTTAGTGACTGAACAACAAAAAAGGGGGGATCTCCAAATAAAAGCTGCTACATATACTAAGGTGTTTCATTCATTAAATTATCCTATTTTATTTTTTATTTTATATTAAAAATTTGAAAAAATGCATGTCAACCCAGTATATCCAATAATAGCAGAAACTTGGGCTACTAGTGATAAAGGAAGAAGTAATCTTGTTGGTGATAAAAGAAGTAATCTTGTCAGCTCGAGCTTGACTGGAATGCCACTTTTGCTATTTGCAAATCTGAGTTAACACAAGTCCTCCAAAACCACCGAATGTGCTACTCTCTGCAGGAGACTTAGTGTTCAGAGTACTTGCTGCTGCTGCTGCTAAGTCGCTTCAGTCGTGTCCAACCCTGCGTGACCCCGTAGACGGCAGCCACCAGGCTCCCCCGTCCCTGGGATTCTCCAGGCAAGAACACTGGAGTGGGTTGCCATTTCCTTCTCCAATGCATGAAAGTGAAAGTGAAGTCGCTCAGTCGTGTCTGACTCTTAGTGACCCCATGGACTGCAGCCCACCAGGCTCCTCTGGCCATGGGATTCTCCAGGCAAGAGTACTGGAGTGGGCTGCCATTGCCTTCTCCGTGCTCAAATACTTAGAAACTCTTAAATCATTTTTTTCCCAGGTAGATCTCTCTGTTCATTGTCTGTCAGTCATTCAGTCAGTTCAGTCGCTCAGTCATGTCTGACTCTTTGCAACCCCATGAATCGCAGCACGCCAGGCCTCCCTGTCCATCACCAACTCCTGGAGTTTACTCAAACTCATGCCCATTGAGTCGGTGATGCCATCCAGCCATCTCATCCTCTGTCATCCCCTTCTCCTCCTGCCCCCAATCCCTCCCAGCATCAGGGTCTTTTCCAGTGAGTCAGCTCTTCGCATGAGGTGGCCAAAGTTCATTGTAGTATAAGATAAATTTTACCAGAATTCAATCAAGATCAAAAATGGAGGATTCATTTTTGAAAGATATTTTAGAGGAGTATCTGTATACAAATGTAACTTAAAAATCTCATAATGGCTATTAATAATGAAGCCTGTGGCAAAGAACCCTCTGTTTTCTCATCACGGTGATCTGATGATCTGTGATAGATTTGATTTGTCACAACTTTTTAGTCGATCTCTACAACCAGTACACATATTGCATTCATGCGTGCTAAGTAGCTTCAGTCATGTTCAACTCTGTGCCGCCCTATGGACTATAGCCTGCCAGGCTCCTTCATCCATGGGATTCACCAGGCGGGTTCTTTACCACTAGCACCACCTGGGAAGCTCAGTACATATTAATAAGATATATATGCCTATTTGAGTGCTAACTATTTTATGTGAGATCTCTATTTTTAAAATAACTCCAATAGATGGATGTTAATGTTTTGCCTGCTTTACGGGTAAGGGAATCAGACCCTGGTAGCATTAAGTTGTTTCTGCTTGTACCAGAGTTAAGAAATGGCAAACCAGAATTTGAACCCAAATCTTTATGACTTCCAACTCTAAACTGACAAAATACTATTATTTTTCAAAGCCAAGTACAGAGTAATCTGTAACTGTAAAAGCAAACAAATATTATAATATTTTCTTAGAAAAGTCTAATTGCTGTGATTTAAAAACACCCCTGCAGCTTGATTAGTAAGCATGTGTTTACCTATTTTGCGATTACCTCTCTTACTTCTTCTGTGTATTTTTTAACTTGTATTTCTAGGAGATATTTCTGTGAGTATTTCAGTATCAAACTGCCAGATTCAAGAAAATGTGGTGAGTATGTACCTACTAACATAAAACTTGGTACTGTGATCTTTTATTGGAAAATAAGAGCGTCATAAAATGCATTATTATTGATCTGACATTTTAATTTTTTAGTATTTTCTAGAAAATTAAATAGGGCCCCTTTGGATGTTTTTCCTCTATAAAATTTTAGAAACATTACATTGTATCAATTCTTTAGTGATTTACTGTAATCTATTCTGTAGTGTGCAGAGTTAAATAACTATTATTCATTTCAGGTAAGCAATTATAATGCAGTGCCTGATTTTTTATGTATGTGACCCATCTTGATACTGGAATTTTAAATGGTTGATGTTATGTAATACCAGATAAAATAGATAAATTATTGAGTTTCATGAGTAGCTTAAACATGCCCTTATTCTGTTTCCCTGATTGCCACCCAGGAGTGCTATCATATGACAAGGAGTTACACATACACTTACCATCACTTGTACTTATCAAGGAGACCTGATAAAACTGCGTAAATGAGATTTTATGGGGCCACATTCTAGCACCCTAGTCAACTGTACCACCTAATTCCATCAGCTCAGTTTTTGAAAATTCTATGTAGGTCATATACATATTATGAAGTTAATTTACACTCTGTCATATGTTTGCTATTTTTTATTATACTTTGTCACTGTGGCAGGAAGCCCAAAAGTAATGAGGCCTTTCCTACCTCATCCTGTGACTCACATTTTTCCCTCAATTTTGACTGCTATGCCTGTGACCAAAAGGAAAATATTTGTAGCCTTACACTGGTCTGAGTTTACTTTTTAAAAAGTAGACTCCGTGAAACTTAATTTATCACCAGCATAACTTTGCAACCTTTACTAAATTGGCATAAAGTAAACTAAAAACCAATATGATTGAGAGAATTAAGAAAAGTTCATAACAAAAATTAGCTGTATTCTTGTTCAGTCAGCCACAAGATAGATAAAGACCTCTTGTTCTATTAGTCACAAGATAGATAAAGATTTCTGTTGCTCTTACTTAGCCAGAGAAGACTTTAAGAAATACTTATCTACCTATAAATCTCTTGGGAAATTCTAGATTCCTTTGCGGTTCTTCCACCCACAAATTCTAGGTGGCCATTGAGCTATTAGAAAAAAATGAAGTAATACTTGAAGTAGTAGGACTCAGACTACTAGCGTAGTATTAATTTCTTTTCTTGTCTTCGGACAACCTTGAACTCTGAACCATAGATACTCTGAAGGGATCACAGCCTAGAGAGAACTTATAGTTTTTTTCTGGAGGAGAGACGAAGGAAAAGGATAGGAATATATAGAATATTCAAAGGGTAAGATGTGATGTAAAAGGACTTTTGGTTTTGAAAGGACAATGGTAAAAGGGTAGAGGATAGGCAGAATATTCCATGGTATGTCATAGCAATACTGAAAGTGAAAAAGTATTACATTATACTCTTATTATTGTCATCACCATTTCACAGATTGTAAACATAGTCATTTAAAACTGAATGTTTTACTTAGCAATTATTATTTCAAAGAGGAAAGAGTAGATGCTTGGAAACTTGTAACCTCTATAAGTGGAAAAAGTGAAACAGTTTGGTCACCTTGTAAATGAGAATTTCATTATCGGTTTGTTGTGTCTCTGGCTCATTCACAGTGATTCAGCCCCTTTTCCTTCCAGTTTAAATTCATCTGATGTAGATGATTGATAAAGAAGCAGCCTTACCATTTTAGCCATAAAGAATGAAATGGTTGGAATCAGGACTCACACAGACTTGGGATTGGGAATCATGATTATTTAATGTGAAATTTCTAAATAACCATCTCAATAAGCAAATCCGTTTTTAAATACTGGCATTATATATGTAAATGACATTATATAGTTTTAAGTCTTTTTTTCTCCCTAATGAAACCTATTTACTTGAACACTGAAAAATTTCTGCTGCTTAAGAGCAGAATAGTTTTCAAACATAACATTAAATTGAAGGATGAGTTTTTAATATTATCGTTATATTGTAGATTTCATCTGGCATTTAAATTGTTTATGTTTAAATTCATCAAGTATTAATGATATATTTAATAAAATTATAGAGTTTATTAGGACTAATATGTTGTTCCACTTCATGTCTGTTTTTCTCTGGGCTTGCACGTATAGGACATCAGCACAGTTTATCAGATTTTTCCTGATGAAGTACTGGGTTCTGGACAGTTTGGAATTGTGTATGGAGGTATGTTGATTCACCGAGTATTTTTATTAATTTAAAGTTTTGGCTACTTGTGTTAAGAAATTTAATATCTCCAAGAAGAATATAAAAACCTATATGTAAATGTGTTTTGTATTTATGTCTTTCTGTCACTTACCTTTTTAGAAATTTCTCTTGAGGTGATCACTAACTGGAAAATTAGCACGTCTGTTTTGAAAGAAATTTTTCTACTCCTACAAAATTTCTTTTGCTTAAATATTGACAAACTCTATATACAGTAATGGTTAAATACTGGTTTACACAGGCAAAATATTGAGAAACAAGGAAACTGTAATTTGGAAACATTCTTTTTCCTCTTAGCATATTTTGTCACAGTGCTATAGAAATCCATTCATGTAACTAGGCAGAAACTAGTCTATTCTAACATCTTTATTAGATGTTAGAATCTAACATCTTCCATTCTAACATCTTTAGGAATGTTATGTATTTTGTTAAGGTTTGCAGTTTTTACATGTTTGAAGTAAAATATTAAATTTTTACATTTTTCTTATTCTCAGGTTATTTGGTGAATTTAGTTAAAACTTCTGTCTTAGATTCTAGTCAGTTCAATCACATTTTTCAAATCCTTAGGAAAGATATCAGTTTTTTTACTTGCCCTATAAAAGGGCCTCATAACTTTCAATTACTTAATATAATCTGTAACAGATTATCTTTTTTGTGAGATGGGGTGCTCTGAAATAATCACAATGTTTGATTCTATTACTTATCATAGTATAATATTGTGCTTTTTTATTTAAAAACTAATTAAATTCTACTCTGTTTTACAAAGTAATTTTGATTCTTATAAAATGTACAAATCATTTTTTTTTGACAGAAAACCTGTCAGTGAGTCAGCAACCATTGTATTTTCTGTCAAGGCCTAACTGTGATTGGGGAGACTAAGTACAACACAGGGAATTGTTCTGCAGTGTAATAATTGCATGCATGCAAAAAAAAAAAAAATCATGGTGTATAGAGCATGGTGCTATACTTAGTCACTCAGTCATGTGTGACTCTTTGAGACCCCATGGACTGTAGCCCACCAGGCTTCTCTGTCTGTGGGAATTCTCCAGACAAAAATACTGGAGTGGGTGCCATGCCCTCCTCCAGGGGATCTTCTCAACCCAGGGATCGAACCCAGGCAGATTGCAGGCAGATTGTTTACCATCTAAGACACCAGGGAAGCCCAATAATACTGGAGTGGGTAGCCAGTCCCTTCTCCAGGGCATCCCCCTGACCCAGAAATTGAACCAGGATCTCCTGCATTGCAGGTGGATTCTTTACCAGCTGAGCTACCAGGGAAGCCCATGAAGTACGGTAAATATACATAACTGAATATAGTGTGGGGGTGAAATGGGTAAGAAATGAGATTAGAGAAACCAGCATGTGCCAGATCGTTTGTAACATCCAACAGTGAAGGAGCGGGTTTAGCAGGAGGCCTCCACAAGGAAGACTAGAAAGTTACACCTGGACACAAACAGATGAAGCAGATAAGAGCAGTCACAGAAGACAGGTCAAGTGCCATAGTGACAGAAACGTGGAGACTAAAAAAGCCACAGTCTCGCAGGCAGTAGGTGCAGTGAAAGTCTGAGTTGGAATAGAGATTGCAGCCAGTCAAAGTAAAGAACATGAAAACAAGACAATAGTTTTGTCTATTGTGAAGGGAAGCCTTCTTGGAGGAGTTGGAAGGAACAGTGAAAGTGGTTGTAGGGAGAAGGGACACTAGAATTACACCAAATGTAGAAATAATAGAATTTCAAATTAGTTTATATGTGACCAAAAATAATGAGTAATTAGTTTCACTTTCAAATTCAATTAGTATGACTATATTCTGTATCTTCTATAATCTGGTAGTGTAGAAGTGAACAGCTTGAGGGGACCCTTTGATTCCCTAGAAGGTTTATTGTGAGAATTACATTGACTATGATATATGTAAAAGGCCTGTCAGATGATGACGATGGTGATAATAATGATGATAAGATGTTTTTTGAGTGTGTATAGTTATCTAGGCACTCTGTGTACTGTACATATCTTGTTACATCTATTTCTCACAACAGTGCTACCATTGAAGATGAGGAACTCAGAAAGCTTTAGTGGTTTGCTCAAGACCATGAAGCTGTTAATGGCAAGATTTTTATTCTTTCTGTTATAACATACATTAATTTATCAGGACTTCATCCTTTCTTTAGGAGAGTACTTTTGCCAGTGGTATGAATATTTTCCATATTAAGTAGCTCAATATCCTGTTTCTAAAACATATATTATATAAGAAAATATCAGGTTGTTCATATGAATAGCTTTTAATGTCCTAATTCTTTTGTGTTTTGAATTTGGCTAAGTTTATAGTGTATATTTGGTCTATAATAGTGGAGCTAAGAAATGAAATCTTGATGGGCAAAAGCCAGTGCTCACCAGAAATGTTAATTTTTTCAGTAAAGCATTTTTGTAATTCTAAAATGTCTTTATAAATTCTGGTATTCTTCAATAGAAATGATATTTAATAAAATTATGCTAATATTTCTTTTTTATTTTAAAGGTAAACATCGTAAAACAGGAAGAGATGTAGCTATTAAGATCATTGACAAGTTAAGGTTTCCAACAAAACAAGAAAGCCAGCTTCGTAATGAGGTTGCAATTCTTCAGGTACTTTTTGTTTTTTATGTGGGGGCTATAATATATCCCATAAACTTCTGCAAAACAAAGAAAAGTTACCCATTATCTGTGGCATAGATATTTAGGAACATCTTTAAATAAGTGAAAAGGCAGATCAAGCATCAAACCACTGCCTGGGTGGTATCTTCCCTGAGACTAGGCAGCAGCTTTTCCTTTTTATGTGCTTAATTCTAGGTTTTAATGTGTTATTAATTCTCATTAAATGAATAATGTTTCAGCATTTGCCCATAGTGGACATGCTGCGACCTTTTTGTTTTACATTATCAATGACCTCCTTTATGCTGTGATAATTATATGAATTGAGTATATGTCAGTATGTAGCTGTCAGCATATCAAGGAAAAGAGTAATACATGCCTGAGAATCAGCTGATCTTGATCTTAATAATGTCCTCTCTGTGTCTCACTGTAAGCCTTTTATTTAATATTGAGACTGTTCCTTAACTCTTCTCATTTTTTAAGCCAGTCCCAGTCCCGTTTTAAAGCCAGAATTTTTAATGAAAAGTATTATGTGATATACATAATTTTTTAAATTATTAAAACTTTTTATGAGAATCAAAAGGAAATGGAGCAGTTGTTTACTAAATGTGGCCAACCTAGCTGTCCAGTCTGGAAAGTCTAGATCCTTGATAAATGCCGATTTTTATATAACTTCCATAATTATCTCCTTGTCATGCAAGGTGATCATAATTTCTAATTTATAGTTTTATTAACTAATATTCATCCGAGCATTGCTCACAAAACAAAACAGATGGCATTTCTGCATTTATTGAGTTTATACAATAAAAAAGTTGAAAAAGATATGATTTTCTGCCCTAAAGGATCTCATGTGTACAGACAACCAAAATAATTGTTGCTGTACATTAAAAACTGACATAGACTTTTCTGAGACTCATATGTTCTAAAAGCTGGTATTTTTGTGCTTTTAGACAACTAATGTAACGCAAAGAACTACCACAGTGTTCTCTGCCTTCTTGGAAGAAGATAACCACAGATCTTAAGCTGACAATTCATACATAGTTTAGTGCTGGTACTCAGGTTCTTTTGTAAAAAATTCTTAACTTCACCATATTGAGCTGCCGCGTCTGAAAACTTAGTGACAACGTTCCATACTTGGACCCCCCCCTTCCAGTCCACCCTCACCTGATGTCCTGAAGGCCGACTCCTCTGAGCCTTGCCACAGTTGGCATAAGGATAAGACAGTTCTCCTTCTTTACAGGACATAAGAGGAGCTTCAATTAACATGGTTATACTTTTATACTTTTTATTGGAACTGCAGAGGAACGTCTAATTCTCCCTGTATAGCCCTTTAATTACCTTTCCTAGCATGACAACACATTATCAGCTGCTGGCTCTGTAGTAAAGTAGAAAAATAAAATATACCACAAACTGACTCCATCTCCTTTGCAAAAGAGTAGCTGCAATCAACAACTCAGATGCAGTAAACATGCATTTGGCAAAAATTTCATTATAATGTGGTTTTCTATAAAGAATTTGGTTAGGTTGAAAGTCAGATTTTGTCCCTTGAGCATACGAAGAGTTTGAGCAGTTCACATATTATTATGGCCTGAAATCTCAAGAATCCTCATCAGTTATCATTCATCCCCATTGTCCCCAATCATTTTTCACTTCCTTCATCAAACTCATATTTATTGAGTACACATCATGAGCTAAGCTCTGTTCTTGGCTCAGTGGATACAGTGGGTACAAAGACACTCAAGTCCTTCCTGTCATGAGTCTTTAAATTGTCTTTTCAGGTTTACTTTTAGTCTGATGTTTACAACATATTTATATGTTGAATTTTTAATGACAAAACTTGTACAAGGAGTCTTATTAAAGCTTGGTTTATGTATATGAGATTTGAGAGTTCATACTTTATCAAAAGTTGGCATTTGTTTCAAACTTGTTCACCAGAAATTAGTCTGATCTGTATTCTCTTTTTCCATAGCACTTACCATATTCTAGCCTATTACAGAATTTTATTTACTATATTTGCTGTGGGGTTTCTTCCCCCATCCCCAATCCCACTTCCTGCTCTAGAATATATGTTTCAGAAGGGCAGATGCTGTTATTTGCCAACAGTATCAAATAACTGATATATATCCCAAAATATATACTGATATATCCCAAACACCAAAGATTGTTCCTGACAAACATTAGATGTTTAGCAAATATTGAATGAATGCTTCTTGAATTAAAACTGTACAGAGACATCACCCTGTCACATAAGAAGTCATAGTATCTGACCAGGAAGCAAATGTCTGGACTCTGTTTGCTATTAATGGCTAATTGGTTAGTTAAGAAGGATTGTTTGTTCTTTGAAAGCCCTCATTGCCGTTTTATATTTCTTATAAAAATAAATAATTCATTTTTTTAAACCTGAAAAGAAAATATGGTAATAAGTAGAGAGATGAGGGGAGGCTTCTGACTCACTAACTGATATGTTCAGAAAAAGTACCATGATTGAAATCATCTGAATGGTACAGAAGGTTTTCTTTTCCTAATCTTGAGGAGCAGAATCCTCTCCCTCTGGATGTAAAACTGATACACAGAAGTATTTGGTATCCTCTGCCCGTGGTCTCTCGCTTATGAAAGCTAGTTTCCTGGTTTATGCTTATACCTGGAGTCTTGACTAGTTCTGCCCCATCCTGTTCTTCCTTCTGAGATTCTCCAGAGAGGACCAAGTAGGCTGGAAATGGCTGATGGGAGAAAATTCTCATGTAGTTCTGTTAGTTTTGTTGTTGTTGTTGAACTCTGATTTGTTTCTGTTGTTTTTTTTTTTAAATTAAAAAAGCTTCTTAGCTTGTAGAGGACTTCAAAGTTGTAAAAATGAATGTGTGAAAGGTAGGCTTCTCCTTTCTTTTTCTCGTTCATCATCTTTACTGGGCGAAGGCTTTCGAGAGGCTGATTTAGTCATTAGAAAGCTATACTCTGTAGATATCTTTGAACAGTTGAAAAATTAAGGCAAATGTGACTTTTTTGGCATAGTTATCCCTGATTTACATCATTTCAAATAGCTGTTTTCATTATCTCTAAATGCTTTGTTGTTATTATCATATTTCAGAAGGATGATAAATTAATGTAGATGTTAAACTTCATTCAAAAATTCCCAAGAGATATTATTTATAGTATGATTTTATAAGTTGTATCTTGATTTTTAAAAAAGGTAAATCTGAAATTTTTGTTTTTTTTCTATTCATGTTAACGAAATAGGGATTAAAAGATAACTTATGATTATTGGGGATATCACAGAAAACTGACTTTTGTAAGAAGATGCAATTAATCTTAGAAGGCTTAGAAACTTACAATCTAAAGTAAGTGATACTGGCATGATATATTTAATAGAATTTAAGTTATCAACATAGGCTTGTTCAGTCTAAAGTCATTTTTATTTTCTCACATAATATCACAATGCACAAAAGCTTTAGGATAATGCTAATGAGTATATATAATTCTAACTGATATACTATTTTGTCTTTATCTTAAATATCAGCTTATTTTTTTCTAAGGAACAATACTAGAGCTTCCGTTTATGATACATTATATTAAAGCATGTTGGAATACTAAAAGTGCTGAATACAGAATGTAGGAAAAGATATGTAAGAATTTTACAGGCCATAGATTAAGTATATCCCCTTGTACTTATCTCCTAAAATTCCACCATCATTCTTATTTCTCTATTGTGAGGCACTCTTCCTCCCATTGAAGCATCTCTTAACTTTAAAACAAAAGAACGGCAGCAACAAACTGTGTTCTTGATTTGTCTAGGCCATCTCTCATGGCTCCAGCACATGTTATACTGACGTACTTTAAATTTGTGCTCTGTGCTGCTTTCCGTTCTTATTCATAAATGTCTGTCTTTGGTTTCTACACCTTTTTACAGTGTAAGGAACGTTTGCCATACTCTTGTCGTCTCCCTCTGCCCCACTATCTCCCTTTGGCTATTTTTCAGTCTTTACCCTACTTGACTAGTCTCAGGGCTTCAACAGCATTCATCACTTCATCAGGCCCCATGCACTGATGAGGCCCCATGTCACCTTCCCTGCCAGCTCTGCCAGTTCTGTTCTTACTGACCTTCTTCCCTTCATCTGAATGGTTTATGCTAACCTGGGACTCATTCCCAGAGTGATCTCGTCCACTTTAAGAGACTCATCTGTCATTACTTCTCAGGTTATTTCCTTAATTTATTTCGTGAGCTCTGTTCTTTCACAGACGCTTCAGTCTCCTATTTCTGGTGTTAGGACATCTCCACTTTGCTGTGCCAGTCTTATCCAAACCAAGTAGCCAAAAACCAAGCGATTATTCCTAATGTCTTTCCCTGCAAGTTATTCTCTAATTTTATCCATTTTGCTATCATTTCTCCAGTTTTGAAGGAACTTCAATTAATTTCCTACAATTAATAAAAATATTAAGTCATTCAACAGTGCTGTTGAAGCCCTTCCTTCTTTGATACAAAGCAATTTATTAGGTTGTATAACAGTGAGTGAAACCTTTTAGAATATTTATCATATATTTGGACAGACAGATACAAGTAACTGCAAGTCAGGATAGCTGTGAAAACATAGGACATAGTGAAAGAAGTCATGGGTTATGGCAGGGGTCAGGGTACTGGAATGAGGGAGATTTTCAAAGAGAAATAGAGCACTGGTGAAATCTTGAAGAGTCATGATTTTTGGTGACCAAAGAAATGTTGGAAAGGGTTATTAGGCTGAGGGGCCACCTTAATAAAATAAATACACTATGAAATATAAGTAGAAAACTAGATCATTTTAAAAGAGTGGCTTCAAATCACTTCATGTGGTTTGAAAAAATAATTCTAAGGATTCTTCAAATTCTAAACACTTTTAGAATTCTCAGAAAGAATTCTAAAAATCGTTGTATCTTTGTATATTTTTAAGTTGACAGCTAGAACTATTTTGTCAGAAGTCCAAAGAATTAATTTTGTACTATAGTGAAAATACTGGTATTTGAAA